AGCGGGAAAGTCCACTTGGCTCGGTTCGTCCTGGATGCATTGGACGGGCGCATCATCAACGGGAAAGCCGAAAACGGGCGTACGCTTCTGATGCACGCCGTGTGCCTTCAAGAGCACATAACCAGATCCAAATTCACCCAATTGCTTCTGGAAAAAGGTGCGGATGTGAACGCCCGGGATGACCACGGACGCACAGCCTTGAGTCTGGCATGCGAACACGGACACTTGGATTCGGTGAAGCTCCTGGTGCAATTCAGCGCTGATCCAGAGCTCACAGACACATGGGGAAACAGTGCCCTCATGTATGCCGCATGCGGAGGACACAGCCAAATCCTGGAGTTCCTAGTCCGGGCGTTCAAGAAGCTCGGTTTGCGACTGGACCGCACGAATCACGCCGGCCACTCAGCCATCCAAGTTGCTGACTTCTTTGGGCACATCCAGTGCACTCAAACCCTCAACGGATGTGGAAAGAAGACAGTGAGTCCGACGAACAGCACTGGAGAACCCGCCGAAGACCTGCGGTGGCCCAATCGCCTCCCGAAGCAGGTTCTGGAGAGGTTCTCCAAACAGATCCAAAGCAAGCACGAGGAAATCCTCCCGGCCTTGTTTCAGAGACAGCTGCGCGTCGGCGACAGCAACGGCCTGCGGATCCGCTTCAGACGTCCAGATGCCAACCAAAGCCTCAGCAGATCCGAAGACGGAGCGGATCTGCTGTTCGCTTCGAAACAGATTCAAAACTCGGTGCTGAAAGAGGTCGGAAGCGCAGAACGCGAGACGGACGGCGACGCACCGCTTTGGGGGAAAACAAGGTCGTTTAATCTTGACCTCAGATGCGGAAGGAAACAATCCTATCAGGGCGACGTGCAAGAAACCAACAGATCTGCGAGCAAATTCAAAAGAGCATCGCTGCAAGATGAAAAACCGCTTGTGGCGAAGTTCTACAGCACAAAAACGACTGACAACTTCGAAATCAGAAAAGAGGTGCAAAAGCGTGGCAGCATTCCCAAAACGACCAGGCAGAGCAAACTTCTGCTCAGTCGTGAAGAACTCGAACCTGAAAGAATCAAACCTCACTCTTCTGGGCTCTCCAGACTCCTGCGCAGATTCACGGCTCCTGAATTCATGCGACACAT